GCAAGAAAATGGATGCACCTTGAGACCATAACGTTAAGTGAAATAAATTAGACCCGCCAGCTTAAGTATCTCGTGGTTTCTCTTACATGAGAAACTCAAAGCATGGATAAAGAAAAGAGCAAAGTAAAAGACACATAACAGGACAAAGGAAATGTGGAAATTCCTTGGGCACTTAACCCACATGCTGCACTCATGGTCCTGGTGGAATTCCTCATGTCCTCCCACGCTCGCCCCTCGAATTGTTAGTCCAACGCTTCCTGAGACCTTAGAATGCATATAATGAAGCAGCAGCCACCCTGCAAGCCTTTTCAGGAGGAGACGTTTCTAAGTGAAGCTGAAATTGCTTCATCTCAAAGTCAGTTAGCTTTGGGAATATCACTAAATGAAACAGTCATTCATGAAATTTCTAATTATTCTTTACTAATTTGTGCTGAAATCCAAAAGGAACAGTGTCAAATTATGTGCTCTTTTGAATTAAATATCCCTGTGTGCCATTCCATTTGCATACATGAATAAGGCTGAACAGTAACATACAGCATGGGGGAGCTTATTTCTCCAAAAAGTGATGACTTTGTCACCCCCAGGACTAAACTGTATTACAGACCATGAATTTGAAGTGAGTTGTTTCACTAATCAGCTAATCAGAAATCGTTCAGGCAGGAACCCTCAAGAAAATTATTATTTATTTTTATTCTTCATTCTTGAATGAAAATTCATTTCCCATCTTACAGAGAACAGCAAGTAGCAAGGAACGTAAATCGAAAGCCATAGCTAGTCAAAACTGCAGCCCTATATAATGCTTTGTTGATGTATGCATCTGACACTTCGAGAATTGTTTCTCTTTTATAAAATCTTTATGTGTGGCATTCAGTTATACTAAGTAGCCAAATAAATGCATTAATGATCCAGATTATATCCCAGTAGTCAACTGTAACATATACCTTTAGTTCCCTGCATTTGTGCCTCTTTTGAAAGCATACACCATCAATGCAGAAAGGTCCCCAGCTACTTGAGTCATTGCAGACCTTGAGAGGTGGCGCTGCCCGGTGGGATTCGGTTGGGAGTGGAACAGCGCCATTAGTGTGGTGGCTCCAACCTGTGCCCCATGAACCGTTCCCGGGAGAAAGGAAAGGCAGCCCCTTGCCTCCCGGAGCTGAGGTCAGTAAGTAATTAGGCTTTCTTGCTTTTGAGTACAACAGGATGAAGATGTACTTTGCTCTGCTGATGAACTACATCCAGATTAAAACCTTAAAATCGCATTCTGTATTTCCAGAGGAATCACAGTGACTCAGTTCTTTAAAAGGCATGTTTCTGATTGCCAAAATCATTTTTGTTGTGATGTTTTATTTTCAAATAATTATTACCTTTGTAGAACATTGAAAATTTAAGTTAAATTAAAAATTTGAAACATACGTGTTAAATAACATTCCAGGTTAAAATGTAAGAACTAGGAATTGAAGGAGACAAACCAGTAAGGCTGGAGTTTTATGACAATTGGAAGTTCTATTTCAGATTCTTTGAACCAGTCACTTGGCAGTGCCCCCACCTTGTTAATCGCCTTCTTGGGTATGTTTCCATATGCCGATGCTGTTGTGGCTCAAAATGTAGTCATTATAGTAAGATTGGGAACGTGTAAATAGTCCTCTCTTTCATGCTGCTCTTATAGAACTAATACTTTCTGCATACAAACTATGATTTGTCTTTAAAGGGGTTTTCTGAAATTTATTCATATTTATAAAATAGGGCAGATAAAGAACACTGCAGCTGCCTATAAAGTACTGTGACAGTGGATCATAAGGTAAAGACACATAAGTCTCCTGCTACCGGAGAGGAGGGCCATTGGGGTGCAGAGATATAAAATGCTGGACTCTGGTGACCTGGGACTCCAGGACCTCATGGACCCAGACCCAGAGAGAACTTCCCCCCGGACTCATTTCCTTGGCCACAGACCCCCATTTCAGGGCCGACTGCCCACCACCCACATAGCACTTCATCCTCGAGGGTGTGCAGATTCTTCAGTGGACTCAGAATCTGAGACACAACAGATCTGAGAAGTCATTTTGCCTGTGGCCCTCCTCCTGTGACCTGGTGCCTGTTTGCTGCACAGAACTGGCAGCCGCCTCTCCCAGAGACACACCTGCCACAGCTCACCTGGGTGTGTGCCCCGAGGGTACACAGGTCAGTCTGCAGGTCTTGGCAGGGGACCGCACTAGCATCTAGAGAGGGCTGTGCCCTCCGGTGTCCTGAACCACTTCCGACATACTGTGGTTAGAGTGGGTGCAGCTCCGGGCCTGGGACACACTGGTTCCCTAGGTGGAATGAGTGGTGGCCACCGCCATGCCGTCATGTCTCATGCCATGCATGCTGGGGCAGCTTCTTTCTGTGAGTGTGATACACGCGTCTAAGGCTCTTGCTGTAAGTAAACAGTGATAGAAAAGAACGCAGTTTTCCCTCAGAGATGAATATCAGAAGAAGGAGGGAGAGAAAGTACATAACCCTTTTAAAATCTTATTTTGAATATGTTGAAGAATCTCTGTGTCTCTGGTTTTCTCTTGATTCACCACATTAATGGCAAGGAGGAAATGCATGGATCCAAAAGCAGTTTGAGTCTTAGGTAGCATAGTCAAACGTCTCCGCTTGCACACCGAAGCTTGCCGTCACAGACTGCAGTGCTCTGAACTGCAAAGAGCACATCCCTGGTGACCAGGCAGGCCTGAGCCTCCCCGGAACCCTGTGCTCCTCCCTTTTAGGACCAGAGCTGTCATCCCCTCTTGCTGTGAGGAGCCTTGGGTCACAACTTTGTTTTACTATTTCTCCATGACATAGAAACTTGTAGCTTTGCCTGTTAGGTTATTGACTTGATTCAGGCATGAAACACCTGGACGACAGATGGATGCTCCTGACGTGAATGGCCAGCCACCACACGCATGGCCAGGTGTTAATGACCTGAGAGCAGCTATCCATCCCACGTGGATGGCTGGACATTCTTGCTCTCTAAACCAACTATGCAGCTAAAAACGGACACCTTCCCAGAACCTACAATTTAAGACATTTTCTAAAACACATGAATACATGATCTTCAGGTCCCTGTGTTTTCAGGTTTCTGTGTGCTTTCATTAGATGTAACTGTTCATCTGTGTTTGAAAGAAAATCAGTATTGGGGTCTAAAAAGGAGCAGGGGTAAGAGTGAGGCTGGCCCCAGATTTCAGGCACCAGCTGCCCTGCCCATTGACCTTTGCTTGTCCTTCAGCAGCTAGGTGGCCGTGGCAAGGACAGGGCTGGCAGGGTGTACCCAGGCAGAGGAAGTTGATCAGGAAGTTTGGCTGGCAGCAAGGGCAGCATTTAAATAGGATCTGGAAAGAGAAGAGTCTGAACTCCACGAGCCTCCAGGACCTGGCCCCGTGCTGGCTGCCGGCTGGTCCTTCTGCCTTGAGTCCCTCTCGCCTCACTGGTGCTGAGCCTGGAGAAGCAGCTGGGGGAGGGGGTCCTCCTTGCTGTGCTCCTGGCTTTGGTCTGTGCATCTCACTGTAGACCCTGCCTCTGGGCGCTCGCAGAGCTCCTGCTGGTCTTGGCTTCTGCCATGTTCCACGGAATCCTTGATGCTCCCGTCTGTGTCTCATCACTCTGTAAAGGGTTTGAGAAAAGAGTGATTTATGACCATGCCTATAGCCAGTGCTGTGCATAGCCCCCACAACAAGCGTGCACCTGAACCAACACAAAAATGGGCAATTTGGCTATCAGAAAAGAAATTTATTGGTCTGAAGAATCATTGGCTTTATTACTCATCTGAATTATCACATACGTCTTAAAGTTTTAAGTGGTTCTTCACAAATAAAGTATACTCGAGAGTTTGACATGTGTCAAGAGTCGCTCTATGTACTTTCGTGTGTATACATATTTATGGCTCTTTTTAAAAGACTAGCTCTTTTGAAAAGGCATTTCTCAGGTTGGGGGTATAGCTCAATGGTAGAGCTCTTACCTGGCATGCATGAGGTCTTGGGTTTGATCCCCAGCACTACAATAAAAATAAAAGCATTTCTCCCGGAAAGCAATGAGCCATAAGGCAATAATGTTTAAAGTCCATGCTTTTGACCTCTTCTACATTTGTATAACACGGTTTTGTTGAGACTCTTGAGCATAGATTACATAAGATAGGCAATGAGTGCCTTAGAGAATACATTGGGAAAACAGATGGAACAATGTGAAGATAAACATTAAAACCAGAAATCTAGTAAGTGGAAGCAGGACATGAAGGTTGAAGTACATAATAAGTATTTGAAATTTATCTTCATCCAAATAAAATTCTGTATGTGGTAGACATCTAAAATCTCATGGAATCTGTATTAGTGTGGTAAATTGTATTACTATAATAAAATACCCCAGGTAACCAAGTTAAAGAGAATAGTCCATTGTGGCTCACGGTTTGGAGGTCATAGCCCGTGGTCGGCCGGCCCCGTTGCTTGGGCGCCTGTGACAAGGACAGGTATGGGGAAGCCGCTGACTCCATGGTAGCCAGGAAGGACAGCGGGAGGGCTCCCCTCCTCAGAGGGTGCATCCCCAGTGACAGCCCTCCCGAGTGCCCTCCTAGGGCCTTCTCCCACTGCCTGTCAGACACGGGCTTTGGGACTCCAAGATCCGGGCCACAGCAGCACCTCGGGCCGACGTCAACTAAACGTGGAAGAGTCTTGTGTGGAGTGGGGTGTGGGAGGCGTTTGGCTCTGGCTCTGTTTTATTTTCTACTTGGAGTGACTGCATCTCTGTGTAGCATCTGTGCTTTCTGAAATATTTGTTCATCAACAGCGAGCAGACAACCACTTCTTTCTCGGGTCAACACCAGTTTTCCATTTGCAGATAATAAAAGCCTAGAACCAAGGGGCAAAATCCCCGCCTGGTTTTAGCGCACCAGCGTGGACTCCTTCCTGGATGTGAAAGGCCGCCTCTCGCTCCTCGTGGACGTGTGGGGCGGGCCTGTCTGACCAGTACCCCTGTCCTCTCTCCAGTGGCATCGGGAGGAACTGGCCCTGGGCCTCCGGAGGCAGCAGCATCCTGGCAGAATTCGGGACGCTGCACCTGGAGTTCATGCACCTGAGCCACCTGTCGGGAGACCCCGTCTTCGCTGAGAAGGTGACGCCTCCTGCGCCGCCGGCCGAGCTCTGCCGCCAGGAGAGGGCACAGGTGGTGGGGACCGCAGCTACCCAAGGCCCCCGGGAATGGGGGGGCTGGCGACACACTTGCTCTCTGTACCCCAAATACCTCATCTGTCGCCTTTTTCCTCATCTGAAGATACAGCTTCTGTACGGGCTGCGTGAGCCATGCGTGGGAGGACTTCAGAGTTTTACAGAGGGGAGGCAGGCGTCGAACTGATCTGTGTTCAGGGGCAAACCGTAGCTGTTGGGTGGATTCGCATTCACCTCACCATCACCCTCGGCCTGCGCCCCACCTCGGTTCCCTAAGAGCCGCTTCCCTTGAGCGTTGCCTGTTGTCTTCCCCTCCTGTCCCGCCTCGCCGGAGCCCTGTCCACCTGATTCCCTTCCTGTCACGGCTCTCGCCCCCTGCATGGCGCCCCTGGAGGGAGGCCTCCCGCTCCTCGGTGGCTCCTCAGGCCCGGCCCGTACGTGTCAGAGCCCCAGCCCTCGCCACTGCCTGCTGAGCCCTGCTGAGCCCTGCTGTCCCTGGCCAGGCTCAGCCCCTGCGGGACCCCGACTCCTCACCTGCACTGAGAGGCCAGCTCAGGACGCTCCACTGCAGTGCCCGGTCCACACTCGGCCCCAGGGGGCCTCAGCCCCCCAGCAGAGGACACCTCGCATCTCCAGTGGCTCAGGCCACACATAGAGCATCGTCCTGCCTCTTTTTCCGTTTTGTTTTTCCAACTGGGCTTCCTCGGCAGGCCCGTCCCCAGCTGTGTACGTCTGTGTGTCAGGAAGTCCTTGGTTAGGGTGGATCTCAATCAGTGTGACAGCGTTCGCTTACTGCTGCTATGTTTGTGATAATGAGCTGATGGTAACTGTCTTTGTTCTAACTCTGCAACATTAAAATCAACTCATTTTGTCTAAAGTGGAAAAATATAATCAAGAGAGGAAGAATGGCATGAAAATTTTTTCTTCTATTTTCATAGTAACGTTTCCTTTTCTGCTGTAGGTGATGAATATCCGAAAAGTGCTGAACAAACTGAAAAAACCGAAAGGCCTTTACCCTAACTATCTGAACCCCAGCAGTGGACAGTGGGGTCAACGTAAGTCCCTCGGCTCTCGGTGGTGGGTGCAGAGGGAGGGTCCGGGAGGAGGCCCGGGAGGAGGCTCGGGAGGGGTGGGGCGGGGCAGGGGCTCCTGACCTTCGGCTCTGTGTAGGCCGGCGGCACTGGCACCGGCAGGAAACTGCTGTCTCTTCCACTGGGAGTGCAAGTGTGGGCACAAGCAAGCACACCCAAACCATGACGGGAGGAGACCTTTCCCAGGTGTGGGGCGGCCTGTGGAGGGGCAGTGTCCCTCTTGTTCTGGCGCCGTGGCTTTTACAGAGCAGCTGGATCATTCTACATGCAGAGCTGGGGAACTGGAAGCACAAGCCGTGGTTCCTGGCCTTAATTTTAAGCTACCAGATAAAGATTCTTTTTTTTTTTTTTTTTTGGTACCGGGGATCGAACTCAGGTCCTTGCGCTTGCGCAGCAGGCGTCGAAACCACTGAGCTAAATCCCCAGCCCCAGATAAAGATTCTTGATGGGAGAATTACCTTTAATGTGGGGGTGAGTGTCATACGAAGACTTCTGCTGCTAGGAACCTGGCTTCTGACGTCAGACAGTTATGTGCAGGGTACACACCTGAGCCAGTCTGGAGACGCAGTGGTAGATTAAGTAGCAACTGAAAACAAGTGAAGACTATTCGGTGAATGCCCAGCTATGGGAGGGCTTCGCACTGCCTTCATATTTTACTCCAATTTGTGTTTATATGTACATACCATCCTTAGATGACCATGCTGCACTCGTTATAAGTGCTTTTCCTGAAGAATAACTTACTTAGGGAAACGTCCACGCCTCTGTGTCGGTGGTAGTCCTGGAAGGCCCCACTGCTGAGCCCTCAGGACCGTAATGAGGACTGCCACTGATGTCCGCATGGTCCGCAGGTTCTGCAAGCTCTGGGGCCTTCTAGGGACCACAAGGTCAAACGTATTTTACGAAAGCACGAAGACTCTGTGCCTTTGGTGTTGTGCTGATGCTCACACGCACGCTGCATGGGGATGCAGAAACTGCAGAGACCCCTGTGAGTGCCAGGGCCGACCCCGCAGCTCAGGGCTCGCCGCTCTGTGCTCTTTACCACTGCTTGAAAGAGCCAGCTCCACCTGTGAGTGTTCTTAGGGAGGCAGCAAAACGGCTGTCGGCGCGGTGCACATCGGCCCGGCGTAGGGCAGTGCGAAGTCGGGGTGATGAGGTGAAGAAAGCACACAAAGCGTCCCGCTGCCTAGTGCAGAGCAGTTGGCCAAGGGAAGGCCCCGCTGGGGGCCGCCTGTCGATTCCTCACTGGCACTGGTTATTGGCTGTCCCTGGGACGCCTGTGACTTGTTTCCTGGTCACCACTTTTGCTTGGCAGAATTCCTAAAAACAACTGGTTATTCAGACTTGGGTGATTGGCAGGCATGTTCTCGAAAATGCGCCTGTCTCTTCAAGGAAGAGTGACGGAATTTGAGCCAATGACAAAAGTCAGGTTTCTCACTAAAAATTAGATTTTTGGAAAACATGGATCTGCCACCACAAGTTTGACACCAGCAGTCCTCTGATGAGGTTGGTGTTGATACTAACAAACGTGGTGGTGATGTCATACCGTGGACTACGTCAACACTTGGAAGACTTGCATAACTCAGAGATGCAGGATGTTCCAGTGGCCAGTGCTGCTGTTATAAAATCACACATGGGAAAAATATCGACTCAAATACAAGATAGGCCAATAGATTCTAGTGGAACTGAGTACAAAATTTTTTTGGTGTAATTCCTAATTCTACATTGCAACTAACCTTTAAAAAAAACGCTTAACCTTTAAAAACATCACTTGTCTAGTTTTGTAGTACCAAAGAGAAAAGACTATTCAAATACTCTTCCAACAGTAAAACGGTGAGGCTGACTTTTCTTTGTATATTTTAGCCAGGACGGCAGATAGCAGTTGATTGAAATTAGAGCAGATACGGGAACCCAGCTGTATTCTAGTAAAGCAGACATTAAGGAGATTTGCAAAATTATTAAACAGGGTCATCGTCCGACTATTTTTATACAGTGTAACATTTTATGAAAAACATCTATTTATATGAACATAGTGGCTATAATAATTGCTATTTTTAATGAATTAATGCAAAGATTTTTAAATGCGGTTTTAATTTTCCACTATGGTAAATACTGATAGTGCTCACGTCAGCAGATTCGTCAGAGTACTTGTTTACTTGTAAGCATGTAAAAGCGCTGGGATAAAGTTTGAAGACCACAGAGTACTGGGGTGAGCGACAGTACAGTTCTCTAAGAGGGTGACTGTTTTGGTTCTCATCACAGGGTTCAAATGTTGAAAGCAGAAGAGTCACTTTGCTTTACTGTTTTATTTCTTTAGGGTTTGGAAGTCGCTATGAAGAGGGACCAAACAGCCAGTTGAACGGGGAACCGTGGCTTCCCCTTCGGGGTCACCTGTGTTCTGTGTATTTGGGCGCCTTCCTGGCACAGGGAGCCCTTTCTGTTTGGATTGGTTGTGGGCAGTCTGCGGGTGGAGAACACACAGACTGATCAGCCTCGTGTCCTTCCCCCATCCTCCGTCCTGTTTCCAGCCCCGAGAAGACACGCTTAGTTTGCCATCCTTTAATCAAGGCCACTTGGCCATGTCTAGGCTTTGCTTGGCTGTTTCCTCATCCTCCTATTCCTTATCCCAGCCTGGCTGTCATTTCTTCCGGAAGCGTCTCCTTCTAAGGCCCGTGTGGGATTTGTCAGCATCCACTCCTGGTCAGCTACTTCCTGTCCCGCCCCGCAGCACTTTGGGTACTTCCTGTCACGACCCCTTTCCTGGTGACTCACATATGTCCCATCTTTCTTCTGAGAGCTCTGGAGGAGGGTGGCCAGTCAGGCACACTGGGCAGTCCACCACACAGCGTCTTGGGCTCTGGTTCCTGTTTTTAAGCTGCTCTTTCTCCACAGCTGTGGCTCCAAGGCAGCATCCTGAGCAGTTCACTGGCAGTGTAAACACAGTCTGTGAGACCAGTGCTAGCTGCGGCCTCTGTGTCTCCATACAGAGCACTTTGCTTTCTATGACGTGTGTGTGTGTGTGTGTGTGTGTGTGTGTGTGGTCCCCAGAGCCGGTGAGGGATTACTTCAGAGGGAGAAATTCAGGTCCAGGTGAGGCAAGTTGACTGTAGGACAGCTAGGCAGGAAACACCTCCCCTGTCCCTCCTGACTGACAGTGGGAGGCTCTGCCTGCTGCGAAGCCGATGCCTCCCCCAGGTCCGCTTCGCTGTTGTGTGGACTCTGTCGCCTGCATGTGCGTCGTGCAGACTGGGGAGCTCAGTGAGCTCATTATCAAGAAGGTGTATTTTCACTTCTGCTCCTTCCCTTTTTTTCCAAATGTGAATTTTTTATAAGCAGAGAATACGGAAACTAACACTTGACAAAATTAATGAGAACAAACACTACTGCCCAACCCCTTTTTTAAACAAATCTCCAAATTCCATGCTTGCTTCCTCCGCTCAGTACAGAATTGTAACCTGGGGGAAATACCCACGCTGCTGCTGGCTGCTGGTTTTTACTCATTGCTGTAACTCGAAGGACACGTCTGGACCGGGACCGGTGTTGCCTGTCCCAGATGGTGACAGTCAGCGGACAGCGACTCGCTTCCCCATGCATCACTCGTGTCTGCCTCCTGTGACCAAGTCCGTACTGAGAGAGCTTGCTGTTGGTGAGCTGGTGCCTAGGCTGCTTAGCTTGTAGGTGTCAGAGGTTCCTGTAGTGATTTGTTTAGGAAGCTGTAAAGGTCACTTCCAACCCTATTTTAAGAATTTGACCTTAGAAACACATTTTTCCATTAAGATTAATATAATTCTGGACTTTCTACAGTAAGGAAATTGCATATTTAAGTAGTTAAAACTATGACCCTTCTAGCTTGAGGGTACAGGCCTCATGAAGGTTGATTTAGGAGAATTTTCACTTCATTGCTTGCTCGTTGAGGGCAGCATACTTTCCGGGAGCTGGCGTGGGCCTGGTCTCTGCTGTCCTGGATCACGATTTTATGGGGCGGGGGAAGCCGTTCTCCCACACTATGAAGTCCAGGGCTGGTGGACAAGTGTGCTCTTCGAAGGCTGGGCATGGGAGCCGTGGGTGTCGAGGGCTCCTGTGAGGAAGTCCAGCGTCCGGCACAAAGCTGCAAGCACGTGCACTCGGGCAGAGAGCAGGGCCTGGGAGCCGGAGCGGCAGTGCATGATGTTTTCAAGAACCAAAGGGCTGTGTGCCAGCGGTCAGGGAGCAGGCAGGGTGGCCACGGTGGTGCAGAGGATGCTGGGGTCTCGCAGGGCCTCCGGGCTCCAGAGAAAGCCTGAGAGGCCTGGGTGATGAGACTCATGGTCAGGCGAGCGCCGAGTAGGCACACGGGCAGAGCTTCCACGCGAGGATCGCATCCCGGGCCTTCCGGTCCTGTGCAGCAGCCAAGGGCACCTGGGGCTGCCTGCCGGATTTTCTGTGCTTCAGAAAATGTAAGTGGAAATAACACCCACGCCATAGGAAAAGCTGGAAATGAGAAAATGACTGCTGCAGATGCAGAGGTGGAGCAGGAGGAAGCGTGAGCCAGCACTGCCCTGGGAAGGACAGAGAGGCGTGGACGGGCTTGGGGCCGCGGGAAAGTGGGGCTCGGAGTCTGGGGACGCCTGTGGGGTGACTGTCGGGTTTGTGTTTGTCTGTTTATTGCGGTGCTGGCCAGGCACCCTACCCCTGAGCCACAGCCCGGCGCCCTACTGCCTCCTGAAGATGCACACAGACCTGGCTGGGGACAGAGTTGAGAGGAGATGCTGAGCTGGGCTTGCAGCCTCTTCAGTGCTCGCTGCCCATGTGGATGTCCAAGCAGCACCGATGGCAGGCGACAGAACTGTTGCCTGAATTTATAGCTGCATAAACAGAGCGGACCTTTGACTTACAAACTCACTGGGTTCCCCGGGGCTGGTTATGACCAAGCCAGTACAGCTGAGATTTGGGTGTTTACCTGGGTACACCCTAGAGATAACAAGAGGCAGATGACTCTTCCATTAACCTAATTAGCCCAAGTTGTTCATGTGTCAGGCTGGTTGTAATTGAGGGTCCACTGTACAGATTTGCTTTTGTGTAACTACAGCAACAGATATTCTCAATAGATAGCAGTAGTTTTGAGTTATGAAATATAAAAGGCTATCTTGTGAATGTTGACGTCTCAAGTCTAGCAATGATGTTTCAAACAAGTTGTGTTTCTGGTCTTGTAAAGAAATACGCTTTAAAAATAATACATTAATTCAAGCCATCGCAGAATAAATATATATATATATTGCATTTATGGCAGAGAGCAGGCATATCCAGACGTGAGCCCCTGGGGTGTGGAAGAGCAGCCACTCAGGAAGGCTTCGACCGCCCGCGGGCCTAAGCCGGGCCCTCACTGTGGGGTGAGGCCCCCAGGCACAGCTGCAGGGCGTTGCCAGTCTCTGCCATGAGCCGGGCCCGATGGGTGGCAGTGAGGGCCGTGAGTGGAGCACCGGGAGGGAGGACTTCTTCTACCCCTCCAGCCCCTTGGTTTCTGACCACTCAGACTATAGCACTGAAAAGATAGGAATAAAGGCGAGACCCTGAAGAGCGCCTCACTTCGCTGCAAGTCCCTTTTTTAAAAGATTTGCCGACATTCATAGCTCTGATGGAATTTCATATTGTTCAAGACAAAAAATGCCCTTACCTGCACTGTGAAACATTGATCTGGTGCCGGACTAGAGAACCTGCCTTCTGGCCTGCGGGAACCATGGTCGCGTCGTCGTGTTTGCAGAGCTGCTCTGGTCACGCTCCAGGCGGTATTGCCTTCCTTCCCAGTTGTGTCCCACCTTGGCACGTCTTTCTGACAGTGACACATTGTGGGAATTTGAGCGCAGCTCTGAGCTGCAGTGGACCTGGGGTTCTGCATCCTCGTTGCTAATGTGATTTTGCCGCATTCTGAGATTCTGAGTTAAGGCTGAGTCACTCTGAAATTCATTTCCCTCTCTTTTCAGATCATGTGTCAGTCGGAGGACTTGGAGACAGCTTTTATGAGTATTTGCTCAAGGCGTGGCTAATGTCGGACAAGACCGATGTGGAGGCTAAGGAGATGTATTTTGACGCTGTTCAGGTAACTGATATTTAAATCATCTTCACCACTCAGCTGTAACTGGTAACTTTCACATTCATCGAGCTCTAATGAAAAAAGTGAAGCGTTACATGAGGGGTTACAAAATATTTCCAGGTAGGTGGAGTCGATGCCCGCCGGTGTACCAGCAGTAATCACGCTTCGTGTCCCTAGTTGTGGGCGGGCAGCTGAGCTTTGACATGTTCGGACCTCACCGAAGAGTCCCGATCACCTGAAGGAGAGATGGGGTCAGGAACTGCACAGTGCCCATGACAGTGGTCCCCAGGCTTAGTCCACATGTGCTGTGATGTCGCCGGCAGCCTTGCTCAGAACCTGTCCCTTCATTAAGCAGCATGAGACTCTTCATGAGTTTATAAATTTATATTCTGAAGATTGACTAAATTAAAGTAGCCTGAGATTACAGAAAATCCCGAAGTAAACGCGTCTTCAGAGATAAGTGGACAGTACAATGAGGAAATCCACGTATAAAAATTGAACAAACTAGTATTAAGTCCATGAATAGTTTCGAACCTGACAACTCGGGACTGAGAGGAAACAGCTGCCAGCTGGGTGCTGGGCAGGTGAGGGAAGGGCTGTCAGGGAAGCGGGGCCGTTGTTCTTTTCTCATGGTACTTCAAGTCATAGCCACCCAGTTTTCCAGGTGAGGCTGTTGAACCTCAGAGCTTGTGCATGGAACCAAAATTCACAAAACATGTCAACATTTGTCCCTCTCTGCCTCACCAGTAGGGGTGGATTTGTGAATCAGATTCTCCATGCCACTTGTGCAGGTGTGTCTGCAGGCAGTAGTTAGGAGCTACTCAGCAAAGCCTGCAGGAGACGGCCAATGTGAGTGAACTCAAGAAGCTCTCTGACTAAGCCTCAGTGAGAAATTTAAATAAGGTCAGGAGACAGATCCAAGAAAACAGTTGTTTCATATGAAATACTGGAACTTGTACCCAGCTTTTCAGGGACACAAATGTTTAGCAGAATCAGATGCTGTGTGATGAAGAATTTCTGTGCATAACTACCATTAATATTCTTAATATTAGTTATTATCAGGGCTCTCAAATAACATAAAATTGGGGCTAAATCCTCATAAAATTGACTTTTTGCTTGGCTGCTGGGAAATTGTTTATAATCAACAATATTAGTTAAGAGGAACAATGTAAACAGCCACTGATGCAGCTGTTCTGAATTTGTCCCTCACCAGAGTCTGGGTGGCTGGCTCAGCTGTACCTGCTTGTGTGACTGTAGCTTCCTCTTTGTGTGAATGTAGTTTCCTACTTGTGTGAACATAGCTTCCTGCTTGTGTGAATTGTAGCTTCCTCTTTGTGTGCATGTAGCTTCCTGCTTGTGTGAATGTAGCTTCCTCTTTATGTGCATGTAGCTTCCTGTTTCTGTGAATGTAGCTTCCTCTTTGTGTGACTGTAGCTTCCTGTTTGTGTGAATGTAGTTTCCTGCTTGTATGAATCTAGCTTCCTCTTTGTGTGTCTGCAGCTTCCTGCTTGTGTGAATTGTAGCTTTCTCTTTGTGTGACTGTAGCTTCCTGCTTATGTGAATGTAGCTTCCTGTTTGTGTGAATGTAGCTTCCTGCTTATGTGAATGTAGCTTCCTCTTTGTGTGAATGTAGCTTGCTCTGATCTGGCAAAGCAGGCCAAGTGTTCCCTCCTTTCCCTCCAGATGAGGTGGCAGCTGCACTGAGCGAAGCACAGACTGCTTTTTACTGCTTCCTGTGAAGGATTGGAAACACCGGGCTCAGAACCTTGGCCCTCGCTGGCCAGCCTGCGTTAAGGCCCGTGGGGACATCAGAGACAGCTGAGCTGTGCCCACAGGTTCTCATTCCTAAGGTTTGTCCTCACTCCTGTGAGGTCTCGAGTTTGGATCTCGAGAGTGCTCCGCACACAATGGTTTCCATGTCCTCTTCTGATTGCAATACTTAGACGTTTTAATTGACCTTAAAGTGGCCCTCCATGATCTTGAAGTTCCAAGAATGGCAGCTTTAAAATATTCTTTGAAATATTTTCCTCTCAATGTCTAGAACTCCACTTTTAGAACTTTTAGCACTTTCTCTTTAGATAAATCGTTGACAGGAAACTCCATTAAGAACAAATGAAGGCCAAGTGTTTCCTACTTAATCATAAAAACATTTCCAGTCTATTGTGTACTTCAATTTAAATAGTGGCGCTAGAACAGCTAAACCTGTGATTTGAGAAGCAGCAGTGCCTCATGTACCGCACCTTCTCTTGGCGAGGTTCACTATAAGAGATTGTCAGGAGCCAGGCGCCACGGTGCATGCTTGTAGTGCTAGCTGTGTGGGAGGCTGACGCAGGAGAATTCCTTGAGTCCAGGAGTACAAGGCCACTCTGGGCAACATAGTGAGACCCATCTCACAAAAAGCAAAAGAACAGTCCTTGTTGAGGGCCGGATGTCCCACACTATTGTTCTGGAGCGCTGACTTGCTGGAGGTACAGATACTTGGCATTAGATCCTCGGAGATTCTGGAACAACTTCAATCTTAGAGTGATGGCTTTAATAACAAAATGCTTGGAGCCTTCAGCTGGCTGTCACGGCCCTGTCTAGAGGCCACGCTAAGAATCCGCATGGGCAGATGATGTGTCAGACGTTTAAGATTCTAAAGGCTTCATCAAACTAATGACTTTCAAATATGCAAGCATTGAACTATAAAAGATAGAGTACACTTCCCTCCTAATCTGTTCTCTGTAGCCTTGTCACAGAAATTTATTAGAGCCATTAAAGACATTTTTCTTCCTTGTATTTATTTACATGTTTTGTTTCCACACAAAACCATTTCTCTGACGGTCTTGGAACTTCACTGGAGTTTATTTTCATAGGTAACAAGTTGGTCAGAATCATGGCAAAAATAATATAGTGCTTTATTCAGGATCCCCCACGGGGTCATAACGTTTCTCTAATCTGTGCTCAAAAGCCATTACTTTTGCCATGTAGAAAGTATAATTTCTTGGGTGATGAACAAGTGTCTGCTTGAGAGACTTTATTGCAGTTTGTGTTATGAGAAGTGTAAATAGCTAAGATGTTCAACTGCATAAAATAAGAATGACATATTCATGTAATAACTAAGCCATCAATGAAATTAACCAGTTCATGAGCACAGTAATGTGTTCATTTATTTTTTACCATCTCACTTTCATTTGTTTATTTCTAATGAAGGTAGGAAAGGTCTTAGCTGCCTGTGTGTTCATTTTCATTAATTCTGCTACTGTGCCAAAGTGTGATTCCTGAACACCCCGGGTTTTGAGGTAATGACAGGTGCAGATGCGACCGTAGCCCTTCTCCTCCTGTGGTGTAAAGGGGGGAAGTATTTCCTGTCAGAGAAATGGGAAATTACTAATTCTAAGCATACTTCATCCTTGCCTTTCAAATAGAAGGCTTATTTGTATTTCTCTAGTTTTAAAGAAGATCAACAGTTCTTGAGCAGAAATAAGATATTTTATAAAACATTGTAAAAGCATTATAATTTCTGAGATTTAAAGGTCTTTGCTCTTTTAAGACTTAGTCATTGCATTCTACCGTACTTTTTCTCCCTTTGCCTCCGCTCCCGTTTCCTTTTTCCAGCATCAGATTCACTTAGAACCTTTTGAGGTTAACTATCATATATGCAGATTGAAAACCAGAGTCACGGGCCAAAGAACACGTGAAACATGTGAGGCAGCTGTACTGAGACAAGGACTGTTGGGCTTTTTATGGAAAGATGAGGGAAGAGCTTGGTTCCAGGGCCCCGCACGGGAGGTGGGGATGATAAGGACCCAGGACCTTGACGTTAGCCAGGATCGGTCTCTGTGTCCTCAGCGTCGTTCCCATTGTACGGCCGAGGGGAAGAAGGGCCCTGCAAAGCCAGCAGGGCGCGCTCACAGCCCTCGTCTGTTAGCTTCCCCTCCTGACGTCCACCTAAGCCCACCCGGAAAACCCCTGTGATGGTGCCGGAAGCTGGCGTCAGGCACAGGGCCCAGGTGCTGCCCCTCTGCCCCCACGGTTAACGGGCCTCTGATTCCCCATCCCGCCCCACTGCCCGGCCACGTTCCCTCGCCCTGCTCCCCCAGGACCGCCAGGCCAGCTCCTGTACCCTCAAGTGCTCCCGTCTCCCTCCTTGGCGGGCTGGGCTTTGTGTCACATGTCCCTCTGTGACATGCAAGTGTGCTGACCCATGCCACCGCCAAACCAGTAGCCTGCCTTTGAAAGGGACTGGCAAAAGCCAAAAGGGGACCAGATGGGCATTTGGTCGTGGAGCCAAGCTAGCCAACAGTGTAGATTCTACCTAACCGCGTGAGGAGGTATGGGCCGGATGGATACGGAAGGCAGCAGTTGTCAGGCTGAGTTGGATTTCTGGCTCCAAAGTCAGGCTGAGAGTCATACTCTTAATATAATACAATACTGTACGGCAGTGTTCAGTGGGAATTTGAGACGAGATTGCAAATGTTGACAGCCAGTCTTATTTCAGGCCATCGAGACTCACCTTATCCGGAAGTCAAGCGGGGGGCTGACTTACATCGCGGAGTGGAAGGGGGGGCTTCTGGAGCACAAGATGGGCCACCTGACCTGCTTCGCCGGGGGCATGTTTGCGCTCGGGGCCGAGGGGGCGCCCAAAGCCCTAGCCCAGCACCACCTGGAGCTCGGGGCGGAAATCGCACGCACCTGTCATGAGTCTTACAACCGCACCTGTAAGTACCTGTGCCGTCCAGGCCCTGGCTTTGTCATTCCATGCAGAACTTGGTCACGGCAGCCACGAAGGCAGGATCCCCTGGGCCCAGTGGGATGTGATGACCGTGACCTCTATCTTAAAGGAATTTGTGTTTTCACTTGAAAAGGCACTATTTTATGCTTAAAAATAAGCACCCGTAGTTTACCAATAGCACATCCAGGCCGTGAAGGCTCAGCCAGAGCACTTGGCGACCTGGCCTTAGCTAAGTAACACTGAATAAGGGTCTCTGTCCTCAAACAGAGAAGCCGTTTTCATAAACCTTCTTCATACCCATAAGACAGGTCATGTGTTGGCTTTCTTTTTGTAAAATACAAATTGGCGCACAGAGGTTAAAAACCTGGGCCGTGTGACACGCTGATGGGATCTGCAGCCTCGTGGTTCCGGCCCACGAGGTGGCTTGTGCTTGTGCCGGCCCGGCCTGGTGGCTGCTCGGAAATGGGGTTACGTGGGGGAAGGGGGAGTGCTGCTGGCTTCTAACGCGGACCTTCAGATGTCCAGTCCTTACAGCATGTTGGAGAGTAAGTACAGTGTGGTGGTCACAGCCATCCTCCTAGCTGGCCTGGGCATTCGTCTGGGAGCTTGCTGAGTGCCTTCCAGCGGGCACTAGGCATTCCGAGGGACGGTGACCCTCCCGCCCGTTCATTTGTCCTTCAGTCATGAAGCTGGGACCAGAAGCCTTCAGATTCGATGGCGGTGTGGAAGCCATTGCCACAAGGCAAAATGAAAAATACTACATCTTGAGGCCGGAAGTGATTGAGACTTACATGTATATGTGGCGGCTGACTCACGACCCCAAGTACCGGAAGTGGGCCTGGGAAGCCGTGGAGGTGAGGATTTAATTTGCATGTTTCTTACAGATCCACATCTTTGTGGAAAGTGTGTAGTGATGCCTGTGAATGTGGCGTATCGACTTCTCTGTGATTTTTAAACCCTTGGCCAGAGTTCTTGCCGTTCAAGACCAGGTGTTTCCACTGAAATCATTCCCTGCACGTAGCTTCAGCTTTGCTTTATAAATGACAGTGAAAAGTGATTCCGCTGTTAGACTGGCATTGGTGGGCGATCCAGAAGGGATAACGTTACGTTCCCGGGGCTGTGGAGACAATGCCCAGTCGCAAGATTCCTGAGTTACTGGCGACTGGGGGAAGCCCACCCTGTCTGTTGTATGTTTTCAGAACCCTTCTTAGGTGTATGATTTTTTTTCTTTGGTCTTTGGGTGGAAAATGATAGCATATACTTTCACTCACAGTAAATCAGCTGCTTAGCTCTAACTTCTAGCAATAACCTGCGGAACCATGGCTCTGTGAGGACGCCCTTCATTGGTCTGGGTCTCTGAGTGTCTGTACCTTCTGTCTGACCCAGCATATCCAGTGTCACCTCACTGTTACTCTGAAGGGAGCGGAAGGGAATCCTGGGGTGAGAACAAGGGGCTGCTTCCATTGCAGTCCCGTTCTCTGGTGTGGTTAGAAAGTTAGCTGTCTTTACAAACTGTCTTAGGAAAAACTTCTTTCAGGAAATTAAAATGAGTATTGCCCTCGTGTAAAATCTAACTATCTTCAAAAGTTACGAATGAACCTTTAATCAGTGTGTCTTATCGCTGATAATCAGTCGTTTTAGGTAATAACGTTTTAAGTAACGCATACAAAGTTTTCTAATTATGTTCAATCCATGGTAATTCCCATTTCTTTAAATTCTTGTTTCATTTTTTCCTCTGGGGGAAAAAAATGTTAAAACTGAGGCTCATATAAGCTTTGGTGATACAGAATTACTTTAATCTCAGATTGACCGGCAAAGGAATTACGAGTTTAAGTTGCAAACAGCAGTGGAAATTGAAAATATCAAGAATACCATCCCATCAAATGTAGCACAGCATAACTGGTAAAAAGCAGCACAGTCCTCTACACGGCTGAGAACAGCGCTGCCCGGGAAATGCGCCCGCCCGCCCGTCTGGTGGGCGCTTGAGTGGGATGCTCAGGTGGAGAGCGGGAAACGCTGCTGCTGCTGCTCGGGAGGAAGCCGCGGTCTCCCTGCCGCTCGGGCCAGGGCTCTGTAGCATGGTGGCGAGACACTGTCCCAGGCCACGGCCACCCGTGTTCTTGCCACTAGTGACCCCGAGACAGCGGTAAGAGGGGCGTGGGGCCACTGCTTTCCGCAGTGCGAACACTCGTCCCACAGGCCCTGCGCTCCCGGCCCTCTCCTGGGTCGGGACTCTGCTGGCTCAGGACTCTGCTGGCTCAGCCTCACCCGTGGGGCTTCCACGGGTGACGTCCCGCTTGCTCCCGGAGAGAGCAGGGCTGCGAACGCCGACCTCAGGGTGCAACCGCTCGCCTGCTGGCACCCGCTCTGTGGGCCCCTGCTGCCGGGCCTGGACCCCCGGGACTGCGCTCTGTGCCCGCAAGACAGCTTCCAGTCAGTCCAGGGCCGAGCGGGTCCTGCCACAGGAGGAGGCGCGCGTGAGGGCTCCCCGCGCCCACTGCTCCGTTCTCCGCTTCCCTGCACCAGCTCCTCCCCCGCTGCGGCCTCGGCCCCGGGGCTGAGCACGCATGGGCTCGCCCGAGGTCCAGCTGTCCTCCCATCCGCCTGTGCAGGGCCGGCCTGCCGTGGACCGCAGGTTGGTGCAGGCTGGGCGCGGCTCCCCTGGCCCCGTCCAGGGAGCCTGCGAAGCCCTCCCGTCCTCCAGCCAGAACGCAGCACCCTCGGTGCCTGGCCGAGCTCAGCAGGCGTGGGAGCGGCCTGAGACCCAGCTCCGCCTCTGAGGAGCCCCAGGTGACACCTGATGACGACAGACAGTTATGTTCAGAGCAGTAACTTCAGAGGCCGAGCCTGGGGCTGGAGGATCCCTGCGGTCCCCGGCCCATCCTTCCTCCTTCAGCCCTGAAGCCGAGCCCCCCCTGGACACCCTGACTCTGAAAGCGGTCACCTTTTGCTCCCTGCTGCTCCCGGCCCGGCCTGCATCCCCTCCCACACCCTGTGTTATGTTCGTGTTGCCTGGCCTCCATCTTCTTTCTGTCTTTAATTTCTGAGATAGGGACTCGCCATGTAGTGCAGTCTGGCCTTGAGTTCTTGGAGATCCTCCTGCCTCAGCCTCCCAAGTGCTGGGGTGACCAGTGAGCACTCCCCTCCTGGCTGGGCTCTCATTTCTGTCCCTGGTTCAGACCAGACTCCGGCAGACAGCCTTGCCTCACTCCGGGCCCCTCTGGGTCAGCTGTCGCCAGTGCGAGTGAGGGAGCATTTCTGCCTCCAAGGGACAGTGGTGCACCATCCAGCGCGCCTGTCACGCTGAGTGCTGCTTCCTGACCGCGCCCCAAACCCAAGGGCGGTCGCCAGCCGGGCCTGCCTGTCACCTTTGAGAGCTCAGCCCGCACAGGCAGTGTTCAAGGACAGGCGCATTCCGCAGAGCCCTGTCCTGAGCAGCAGGCCCAGTGATGATCGGGAAGGTCGGTGGGGCTGGGATAGGGACGGGCGGGCAGCCTGTGGCCCGCGTGACAGGCCTGGGCTCTTAGCATCTGGACTTCGTGACCGGAAAGTGTGTGATTTGCAAAAATTGAAAGTGCCTCTTGCAATTTCCCTTTTAGAGTTGTTTTAATTCACCAGAAGCCTCTTGGGAATGGCGGGCCAGCGAGGCCTCACCCGGAGCCAGGCCTCACCACGGTCGTCCTGGTCCCAGTGCCGTGTCTGGGGACAGCACCTGCCTGGGCCGGGGCGCTGGGCCACAGGGAGGAAGCTGGGGGCTGGGGCTGCCCGTCCTGTACCCCGTAACTGATTGCGGCCTCCCAGGAGGACTGCGGGGGCCAGAGAGTGCCAGGCAGGAGCGAGGGCGTGGGCCCGTCCAGCCGCAGGCACTGCTGGCCTCAGACCTCGAGCCTGGTAGGAAGGCGCGGAGCAGCCCAGGGAAGCCGTGGCCAGGGCAGGGTGAGGGACAGCCGGCCAGACGCCTCATCCGGTCCCGCGTCGGCCTGCTCATGCCTTCCAACCCCTAATTTCTTTCCTTTGCAAATGATTTTTGCCCATTCTGCGTATCTATTATTTGGCCCTTTATTCTATGAGGAAGGAAGGGCGGAGAACAGAGGACGGGAAAGTCTCCTTCTGTCTCCTCTGGAGCTTTGAGGTGAGCTGGGCCCTTTGCGGCTCGACGCTCCTTTCCTGAGGGTTTGTGGGAAGCACCAGACCCCGGGGAACTGCCTGCTTTCCTTTGTTCCCATAGCCTGCTGGTGAGATCTGCTCAGCCCTGGTCCTGGGACTCCTCGTGCTCTCCGTGCACCAGCGGGCCTGGCCGAGCTCCCCTCCTGTCCAGCCTTGACCCAGGTTTTCCTCCCAAACCCCTTTCTAGCTAGTGGAAGTTTTTCTCGACAAACATGGCAAAGTCTGTGCTTTCAAGAAAAAAGTAGGGCATAATTATACATATAAAAAAAGACGAGTGTGAACCATAAGAGAAAACCGAAAGATGAATGAAAAATGACATGGGAACTGAATGAAACTCTTGTTTGCAACTTATTATAAATAGCAAGGTTTTAGTCTTGAACTTTGCCATTTGTGTACACAGTCTATGAGAACCAGATTTTAGGTAGCAATTGTTGTACAAGGGGAATTTTTATTTTACCTATAATTGATAGGACTAGCAGAATGTGGTGGACATGGAATAACTTGCCTGGAATATGCTTGGTAACTTGCAAAGCCGAGGTGTAACTTCAACATACAAACAGCACAAAATACAGCTCTAAATGAATTAAAGCCTTGAATGTAAGATCTGAAACTGTAAAACTCCTAGAAGAAAACGTTGCCAGGCATGCTTCATGACAGGCTGCAGCCCTGATGTTTTAGATTTAGCACTAACACTACAGCTACAAACGAAAAATGAAACCCGTGGGACTCTGATGGGCCAGGAGATGACTAAAGGAGAAGCCAACCTAGGGAGTGGGAGAGTCACCAGTGATGCTGTTCTCAGTGTTCCTGTCTTTAAGTGACACGTGGCAATGTCTGAGGAAGGGTTAGTATTCAAAATCCAAAGGAACTTACACAACTCGGTAACCACAACAGAAAAACAGTTTTCCGAAACATGGGCAAAGGACTAGAATAGACGTTTTCCAAGGACGACATGGGAATGGCAGCAGGTGTTGAGGAGATGCTGGGTGACACCAGTGAGCAGGGAAGTGGAAACCAGACGTGTGAGGAGAAGCCACCTCACTCCCACCAGGGGCTGCCGTGGGAGAGTCACAAGGTCACTCGTGTCATCACAGAGGGAGAGAAGGAAGCCTTCGTGCACTGAGAAGGTGACCTGACGGTGTAGCTGGTTGGAAAAGTGTGGCAGTTCCTCAAGAGGTGCCACAAAAGCCATCTGGCCCTGCAGCCCTCTGAGGAAGTTCGCACAGGGACATCCGAATCGCAGAGACCAGCCTGTCATATCATCACTCCAGGATCCGGGGCCCGGCGGGCAGGCGCAACCCATGTGTCCATCCACATAGGAGTCGTAAAGAAATTGGTGTCCAAATGTGCACCAGAATGGTGTTCATCCTTTGACCAAAACCAGGAGCTCCTCCCATTGCAACAGCACAGACGAACTTGGAGGAAAGAACAAGCCAGGCACAGGAAGGCAGATGTGCTATCACATCCGTGTAGAATTTTTAAAAGACTTTTTAAACCCTCATAGAACCAGAGAGGACAGCAACCGTTAGGATGAGGGACAGAAGAGAAAGGTAGATACTGACCAAGAGTTTTCGGTTGTAAGATGAATAAGCTGTAGAGACCCACCATACAGAATAGCAAACAGTACTACAACCACACAAAAACAAGTGACAGTGAGGAGATGAATATGTTGATTGCAGAAAAATGGATGGAGCTAGAAACCGTAATGCCAAGTGAAATGAGGCACAGAAAATGATCGTGGCTTCTCATATAAGAAACCTAAAAGCTAAATGAATGAGTAATGAAGAGAAGCTAGGAAATAAGGCAGACTTTGGAGGGGAGGGAGGGAGGAGTGGGGGAAAGAGGAGTGAAGGCATCCAAGATGATCAAGTTATGCTCTGTGTTCCAGTTCCCCAAGATGAGTGTCATCGTATTGCGACTTACACACAGGCACTAATGAAAGACACAATGAGTGTGTGATGTGTGAGTTCTTGACTGTGGTTGTGGTATTTCACAGTGTGTGCATCAAAATATCGTATCCATCCTTATTATGTAAGTTTCTATCAATCATACACCAGTAAAGCAAAACAACTGAATGGGGGTAGTGGAAGCGGGGACAGTAACAGCAGTCAGCCTGCTAGCGGGTGGCTGAGTGAAAGGCGGAGTTCTTTGTGACCTACATTTTCATCCTCACAGTACCTGTCTTTTCCAAATTGCATCTGTTATGTCCAGGCAACTACGGAAACATAAGACCACTTACTGCTGAGCAGTTCCCAATGGATTCATCCCATTTTTTCACATCAGACTAAAGAAAAGAAAACATGTACTTTAGGAATAGCAAGCACTTGTGTCTACTGCCTTATATTTTCTTCTTTAGGCTCTGTCACCAGTATCACTACTTCATAGTCTATAATCAGTTTTTAAGAAATAAAATGTTCTCACTGGAGTAGCCCTGTGTAGGTCCAGTGTACTTTCTCAGCCAGAGGGTTATACCCCAGACAACAGTCTCCCTCGACATCAGCGAAGCTCTATAAGGGCTGGAACATGTGTGCTGGCCTGGGACCTAGGGTCTCCTCCGCCCCTGCCCAAAAACAGCCTAGCGATCCAGGAACAATTAGTGTGGCTGTGTTTCTGTAACCATTTATTGACGAAAACAAACAGTAGACTGGACTTGTCCTGCAATCCTTGGTTTGTCAAACCCTACTGTAGACCACAGGAGAAAATGGTGGAAATCAGCATAAAGTTATTTCAGAACTAAATGTGGAAGTGTTCTATGTGTTCTCCATGTATTTGGCTTTTCATATTTTATTTGTATTTCCCATTCTGACTTTTTTTTAACTTTGCACCTAAGACAACAAGCTCGGTTCAAGGTGAGCGAGCGCCTCTCTGACCCGATGCCCCGGTAACCCCAGGCACCTGCCGCCTCGCTGATCTGTTTCCCTCTGTAACCCAGGCGCTGGAAAGTCACTGCCGCGTGACCGGGGGCTACTCAGGCCTGAGGGACGTGTACTTTGTTCACGAGAACTATGACGATGTGCAGCAGAGTTTCTTCCTGGCGGAGACACTGAAGTAAGTGGCAGTCGTTGTCAGAGGTTTGGGCTGAGGCTCTGGAGTAGGTCGGCTCTGCAGATGTCGGGTTCCTGACGCATCCAGCAGGCCGAGGATGGCTGAGTCTTTGAGATGCGTTTCTAGCCCTTCCTGACTCTCCCACTGCTGGCCCCACAGCACGGGGCTTCCCTTCCGCAGTGCCTGACCGTGCCTCCGGATCTCTGGAGATGATGGTCAGACCTGTGCTTTCTGCTGCATCTGGGCCTCATGTCCTCCCGTTTCTCTCTCCAGATATCTGTACTTGATATTTTCCGATGATGACCTTCTCCCCCTGGAACACTGGATCTTCAACACCGAGGCCCACCTGCTCCCCGTGCTCCGTGCAGAAAAAAAGGAAGTTGAAGTCAAAGAGAAATAAAGACACTTTCTGTTTTCTTCTGCTTCATTCCCTTCACTGCATACCTTAATGGGTCCTTTCCTGGTAATCAGGCACATGATGAACTTCTATCAATAAGTCTATGGTTATTCTAAGTTCAAAAGTCGTTTTGCAGTCTTTTATGTTTATTAGGAGGCATAAATCCACCTTCATTCCTGTTCCTTTCTTACTCAGCCAATAGACTCACAGAGTTTGTTCGTTTGTCTGTCTGGTTTGTTTCATAGCCTATCATCACTGCAGATCATCGAGGCGTGGCGTCATTTCCGTTACATGAGTAACCTCTTCATAATGATTTGATTTGACTGCAAAACTTTTTCCTCCTCTGTGAGGAGATGACGTCTGCTTTAAGCTGTAATGTTTTGCCATGTTGCAAAAAGCCATAATAATAAATGAAATATTAAAAAGCTTTTTCCTTTTCAATATCATGTAAACATGATTTGTCTTTCCACCAGAGACACATCTTCTGACTGTGACAGCCTCCTTATGCGGGTCTATCATTATTTGATAGGTAGGATGTCTCCTACACAATTTCACTCACCCTACATTTCAGACTAGAAAGTCATTCCCAGGGAGTCATCTCATGTTGACCTCAGATCATCGAAACCACAGTATGTTTGGGTTGTTGATTACCTTGCTGTTTCCTCAGTGGGGGTGAATTGTTCTTGACTTTTGCATTAAGTGTCTGGTGTCATTTCTGGACCATGGGCTACTTCATTCCTTGCATTCCTCGCTCCACAGGAAGGTGAGCTCTCGGTTGTACAGAGCTCGCCATTGGTGAAAGACACTTTTTAAAGGGAAACAGTTGCTGTTAATGTGCTAGCTTTTGCTTTTAACAGAATAAGTAAACAAATTGGGTCTCTAAAAAGAGAATGAGGGTTTCATGTGGCTATTCATTTATTTCCATCTCATCTTAAATTTTTTCTTAAGAAAAGAAGCATTCCATTTGATTCAGATTTTTCAAGTTTTAAAAGGAGACTTTCTCAAGTGTAGTAAATTATTTCATTTGAAAGTGGGATTTGACTCAGTGGGAGAAGCTTTGGCAGTTTATTCACAGTTAATTAAGAAAAGTCTAACAAACTCTTAGGTCAAATAAGAATATATTTAGTATGGTTAAATTAAACATGGTGATTCTAACTTAGAAGCAACATATAGGAATGGATACCTCATAATTTGTCTGCAGCAGATCCAAATAACTCTTTAACTCCTCTAAACATTAAATTTTGAAAGAAAGAGGAACAGTTTTCCCAAGAACAGATTTGGTGAGACCTAGTGTTTTCTTTTCACATTGGTCCTATTTCCATAGAAGGCCTCATCCGGTGCTGTGTATGCCAAGGTGCAAAGACTGACAGCCTGAATTTTCACCCTACAATGGTCAGATCTGTGCGCCCTCTGGGTCAGGCCAAAGCGTACAAAGCCGCTATGTTTTAGTTTAAAATTGTCCAGGATCAGCAATTTCATATGATTCAACCTAGTACTTTTTAAACAATTATTTGTGTGTAGATCTCTTTAGACAACACTTTTAGATATGTCAGCTTTTTAAATGTTTCAGATTTCCTTCGATAGGACTAGTTTGTATGGCCTGTTTTTGTTTGTTTTGTTTCTCATTATGGTACCTTGGTATGTGTTGGAGACAAAGTCGGTAAATTACAAAGGTCCCTCAGTACAGCATTCTGGCCATGTTAAGGCATCCGTGACCCAAAATAACTTCTACTTATGTCTTAAGCTCCCCTAAAGAAATGCCTGGACAAGTACTTTTCCTCAAAACTGTAAGGCAAAATAGATTACCACCCAAATTGGTTGTATGTATTTATGTTATACTTTTCACATGAACATCCTTGGACTAGCGATTTACATTAATGAATTTTCTTTGCATTTCAATGTGATTCGAAGGTACACACAGAGCTGATCTGTCCACCTGCAGCAGGGAGAGTGTGGGATCAGGCTGTGTGTACCTCACATCACTGCAGTGAGCCCGTGTGCTCTACTGAGGAGACAGGAAGCTATGGTACATGTTGCTCTGTCAATGGCAAGAATAGATTTTTAGTTCTAGAATTTGCAGTTTTTTATCAGAAGTCCCAAAACACCAAAAATGTAAACAAGAGATTAATATTATAGTGATGTAATTTAAAGTTATACTTTGTGTTAATCATATTAAACAGCTGAAGTCTCTAGGTAGACACTGTCATTCATTTGCACCAAAACTACAGCTGAAGTGACATATGTATTCATATCCTTTAAGATGAGCAATTTAAATAGCACTTAATTTTGTGTTTACACAGTATGTTTTTGATACACTTTGTGCAATCAATATTACATATAAGTTGTATGCCAATTTTCAGAACTCAGTGACTTCTTTATCATGACTTTTCATTTCTATTACCCACTCTTCACATTGATTGTTTCTGATTTGTACATAAATCCATTCTCATTTCCAACTTTATATAAACTATAAACCTCTAATGTTATGAGAAACATAATAGACATAATTTTTAAAAATTATATTTGTAAAATTTCTCTATTGTGAATAAAGTCTGTTAATATATCTCCTCAGGTGTTATGTCTTTTCCTTTTAAGTGATCTGTGCGTCTAGGGGTCTAGGGTTGAGTGTGTAGGGCTGTGAATGGAAAGATGGGCTCCTAAGAGCAGTTACATAACTACACCTCACACTACAAGAATCTCAAAGAAACATTTCCCATGAGAAACCTCAGTTGCAAATGGTTTGCAACCTTTGGTTAATCAGATACTTTTACAGGAAGCTAACCTAGATCAAGGCCAGGACGTGCAGGCAAGAGCAGGAAATTCCTGTCAGAGATGCTGTAAGGCATGATGCTTGCTCCTAAATTTGCAATCCAAAGAGATCAGACTCGCCCACCCACTGCACCCACCAGAAGTGAGATGGCAGCAGCTTTCTGGGGAGAAACTCAGGGAGCAAAAAGTATAGCAGAGGGATAGTCAGGCAGGCTTGGTAAGAAAGAACCTAGGCTAAGGAGAGCCTCCCATACTGTTGAAGAAGCTTAGGTTTTCAAATTTTATTTTGTACTTTTTGTTCAGACCTTCTGGTTGCTCTTCCTGCTGCCTGGAATTCTGCCAGAGTGGCTGCTGCCACCAGGACAGAATTCCCAGCACCCTTTGCCTCACCTTGTTTTATTTTCTACTTAATATTTGTTATATATTTGAGTCTTTGTTTATTGTACATCTAACCTCTTAGTGTCTAAACTCCATGAGGACAGAGACTAAGTGCATGTGTATGCGTGTGCACACAGCACACGCACGGGCACACGCACAGAGGCCCTGCCTGGTTCTGTTTCCAATGCAGTACCTAGCCCTTGGGAGCACACACTGACCATCTGCTGGATGAATGTGTGAATGAGCTCCACCTTGCATTCTGCTACACTAATGTGCAAATGTATTTCAATCAGCGATTTAAATATTAAATTTCTATTTGTGACTGGAATCCACTCTCAACAGATTTGCTTACATCATTAAGGTACCATGTATGGCGTTGTATAAAATACATGTTTCCTCCAGTCTAAGGGTTGCTTCAGTGTTACTGCTTAGCCAGTCTACCATTGCCTTATATCCCTGAATCTCACTCCTGCCTCGTATAGAAATTTAAAAATAAACAACTTTCAATAACATCAAGCAAAAGAATTAGTTTTTCACTAACAGTCAAATGAGACCATTCTGAACTCAGTTATTTGTAGCACAAATGGCTACAGTTATATTTACTGACAGATTTGTTAAAATGTATGCTAAGCATGATACTGTATACTAATCACCAGCCATCGTAGACAGCTAAGTAGGTAGAAATACACAGGCTGTCACACAGGGCTGGGCTCTCAGACGGAGTCAGTGGAGAGGATGAGAACACATCACAGCTGTGGCTGGAGGTGCATCTGTTAAAGGCCAGCCCTCAGGATAAAGACTGAATGATCAGGCCTATGCGCCTCCCCAGGGATAATTGATAGAAGCTGGTCCAACAAAGTCTAGATAGACATCAGTCACCCAGGTGGGTGACCAGGAGCCCCAATCGGTCCGTCCCTAAAGAAGGTCTCGTTCTTTCCATGTTCACTTGCTACGTGACCCATTTCCCCCCTGGATCAGTGTTACCTGAGTGACTCTACTTGTGCGCTTACTGGTTGGTCATAGTTTTGACCCACGTGGTACCCACCTCGTGATTTTGCTCTATGAAAGTTCCACTGAGAAGTGGGCTCGTTGGCAACCCACTTTCAGTCCCCTCCTGTCTCTCAGGAGCTCTCTCTCTCAAAGTCTTCCTACTCTTACCCTCTGTCGTTGCTTAAATTGTTCTTCAATTTCAGAGAACACAAACTCGGTGTATCTGACATCTTGCAGGTTGAGAGTTATTTATTTCCCCTATATCACAACCACCCACACAGAAATGGCAGGGAGGAAACTAACACATTTCTGATTGCTTAAAATTTTAAGAAAAGCAAGATGAATCATTTCTTCACTTAGGCATGGAGTGCATGTATCTAACTGCCATTCCAGCTCCTGGGTTGTTCCTCAATGCAAGGTGGTACAGGAAATCTTACTTAAAATCCTAACTTCACAGTCCAGAGGCTGATTGCCACTTTTCGACACTCTTTCCATCCACGCCAGCTGACACGAGTCACGATTTTCAAGAAATAATTGCCCCACTTCAGATACATATTCAAAGCATATGTGGAAGTAGACAGTATTTAGTCCAACTCTTAGTTTAAATATGAGGCAACTGGGGGTGTTCCCCAAAGCCGGGAACTGTTTCTGCTCTGACACACAAGGGTAGAGTAAGATTTCATGCTAATAAAGAAGAATGGGATATGAGCGTATAGATTGGGACTCCAGAATAAAGGTGTGGATTCAGAGTTCACCCTGTGCAATGGGCCTGCAGTTATGCTTCTCTCTTGCGATGTGGGCTTCAGCTCACCTACAGCAGAATGGCTTGTAAGGCTGGTTAAAGTGCAGATTCCCAAGTCTTCCCCCAGATTTAATAAATCAGAACTGATGAGGTCCTGCATGCCCACATCTGTCTCTGTGTTATGCGGGTGCCTCCAGACACAGAACCGCAGTTTCAGGGAAGGGTGGACGAAGTCCCGAGGACTGGCAGAAGAATCGGTGGATTAATGCGTGCGTCATGACGAGCAGACGTTCCTTCTCTGTACTTCCTTCCTTCCTTTCTGTCTTTTTTTTTTTTTGGTACCGGGGATCAAACTCGGGTCCTTGCGCTTGCACCGAAGGCTGTGAAACCACTGAGCTAAATCCCTGGCCTCTGTACTTACTCTCTTCTCAAAATTTACACACAACTTGATGATTTGGGTCACTTCAGAATCACAGTCATCCTTTCACAAAAGCATTCCTGAGTAATAAGCCACGTACCTGAAGCTTAGAGACACATTCACACTGCATTTCTAAACATGTTTTTCCTATTAGGCAACTCTGAACACCATTGACTTCAATCATCCCTGTTTTCATTCTGTGATTATTTCATTTGCTTTCTTCCCCCAATAACTGCTTCTAAAGCCATTTCTCAGTTGCTTCTTCTGCTCTTGGTGATTTGAAGTGACTGTCACTTGCAGAGCCTAGACAGGATTCCTGGTTTGTCTGTGTGTCATGACAGTGTGTAAGACGTTCTTGGCCACGACCTCTGGAGCGACCTTCATCTCCTCCCTGCCCTGACACTTCCATGCTAATTGGCAGAGATTTCCTGGCTTGCCATTACTGTGATCATTTTGAATCCCTTAAAACATGCTATTGCTTATTGAATAAATTAACAAATTTGTGTCACAGATCGATTTAATTCTCCAGTGAATGCAAATTACCACAAACACTTAGAAAATGGTGATAGATGCATAGCTTTTTAAAAAACTTTTCCACATCCTGGTATATTTTGGCCTTAGGCTGTGAGCACATATTAATGCAAGGTTCTACAAACAGGGCCACAACCATACAGCTTTTCAAGTCACATTTTCCAAAATGACTGGCACCTGGGAGTTTTCGGTTTGTTTTGTTTTGTTGTTTTAACTCTCTTAGGAGAAACAAGTGAATAATCATGCCCTGACTCTCGGGGAACTTCATTGCTTATTTTTCAGCTCTTGGAAGTCTCTGAGGAAAGCAGAGCCCATAAGTTGGAGTCATGTCCAGAGCCGGGAGGGCGACCTCCCCATGGCGTCCTGAGGCCGGTGAGTGCGATGACCCCAGCGTGGGAGAGGCAGCTTTGCTGGTCGTGACCCTGAGCTCTATCTCGGGACAGGAGAGGCAGCACACTAAGTCGCTTCCTTCCGTCTGCAAAGACCTCCTTACCACTGTGCCTTCGATGGGGCCCTTTAACCTCACCGTTGAGTAAACCCGAAGAGCGCTTCAGACCTTTGCCACCTTGCTTTCACCAACTTGGCAACTTTAGGGTTCACACAGCCTTTGCCAGGGCTGCAAAACCATAGGCCATTTAAATGTCCCCGCATACATATAGGAAATGCCTCCGCGCGTGACGCAGTACAGAAGAGGGACACGACAGGTGCATTTGGGCCAACAGGAAGCTGACTTCACCAGGAACAGAGACGACTGGGTTCCACACAGCTGTGCTCGGTGCCCTGTGGGACTTGAACTCAAAGTCCTCGAGTCTCGGTGTCTTCACCCAGGAAAGGAAAAGTGTGATGAGCCCAGGCGAAGCTGCCGCTGTGCCTTTCGTGACTCCTGTCCTGGGTGCTCAGGACGAGGCGGCAGCACACACACCCAGAGCACCGTGGGCCACAGACAGCAGGCGGCAGTGTCCTCAGCCACAAAGTGGGGACCTCACGGCTCCTTTCCAGAGAACCGAGAGAGCTAATCCAGTACACGCCAACCTCCCCAAGCCCACGAGCCAGCCCTGAAATGCTTCGAAACCTGCCACCCCCGGAGTGCCCACACAGCACTGCAGTGGGAAGTCCCACACCGAGACACTGGGTCTCGAAAGGGACGTGTCTAAACCAGTGCACAAAGCCCCGTGGGCGACCTCGGCGTGTGGATGTCAGGTATTTCACAGATGCCCCAAGGCTGGCAGAATACTCACTTCTGCTCAGCGCTTTTCCGGTGTAAGCTGTGTGGGGAGAGGTCCTGGTCCTACCTGAGCTCCGGCTCCCACCTCCAGCTTGCCTCTCCTCTACCTAGGGAAGCCTCCAGCTCGCTGTTAGGACAGCACCTTTGCTGTTGTTTTTCGTGCTGCTTCCAACTGCCCTTGGCTTTTTTGGATGCCTTCCTTCAACCAGACTGCTGCAAACACAAGGCCAGACTCCAGCTGCTGCTCCGCAGCCTGCGAAGACGGAAACAGTCAGCTCTTTCTGTCCACACCTGTATCACCAGCTGAGTATTTTCCATGTATCTTTACTGACTAACAGAGAGTGTTCTGTTAGCATTTGTCGCAGAAAAGAAATTGGGATCAAACTGCATGATCAATGCACTGGTAAGAACACTTATCAACCATGTCATTGGTGTCTTCAAATAATCCAGGGAAAATCAAGCAGCAACTGCAACAGCTAAGAACTCCTTTTAGATCGAAGGACAATTTATGTCC